CTAAGTCATGCACATGCAAAAGCATTATGTGGGATGAGGCTCTTAATTAACAGAGGTTAAGCATGCAAATGCAAGAACACATATATTTTAATTAAGCTAGAGGAGGAGTTTTCTAGGACTAAGGCACAATCGTGTTTATGCATTTCTCCTCCTTGAAGCCATCCTGTTTATACAGGCTCAGCGATCTACATGACAATCTTCTGTAGAAGTTGTGCAAGACGTTGCTAAACATATTGACAAGGCTAAAGATATAATTTAAGACCTTTGCTTCTAGCCATACAATCACAAATGACATGAGTAGGTTGGTATGGGGAAGGAGTTAACAGAGGATTTGACCCAAAGCATTTACACACTACTGAGGAAAAGATCCTGACTGAATATTCCAGCTATGGCTTGTTTGTTAAAATGGCTCTTGAGAATTTTAAATGGCATACTGAATACTATCAAAACACCACTTTCCAACTGACAACTGGAGCTGTTCCAGGAAAAGCAGCAAATCAAAGACCTATCCAATATTGCATGTAGCTAATGCATGGCAGCCAGCTGTAGGAACCGAGTGAAAAAACACTTTGGGTTCTGGCTCCCAGGAGGAAAGAGCTCTGCCATTAGTCTCCTTGAGCACCAGCCTCCACTGTGGCCCCACTAAACACTTCTTTTGCTTTCTGTTGTCATCAGAACCATTTCTGCACATAGGCCCAATTCACTCCTCAGGTAATCTGGGTCCCTTTGATGAGGGCTGAATTTGGGCCATCTGTTCAAGAGGGAAATAATAGGGAGGGAACTAAACCTAGAGAAGAGGTTCTTTAAAAATACTGTTCTTTAAAATGTAATCTTATGATCCAGTAACACTAGCAGAGAGAAGAGAGAAGGAAGGGAGAATATCTCTTATAAATCAGTAACTTGTATGGGGTCAAATTCTTCCCAGTCAATGCTCTAATTCTCAGCTCTTGCCTAAATAAGCAATGAAATAAAGAAAGATATCTTCCTTTTTTCCTTTTTTTACTACACGTCTCAAGTCCTGTTAGGTCACAGCTGCCAGCTCTGCAGTTAGCCTGGCATTTCAGAGATGGCTGCCACACAATCCCTTTATTCCCCTATAAGACTTCTGCAGCAAGGAGTTGGAGAACCTCCAAGACTACAGCTCTGTCATAGCTCCCGCCCACACTCAGCCAGCAGGTTGGAGTTCTTCCCATTTCAGCTCCACCCTGGTTTTGTTTTCCTGTCCAACTGCAGACTCAGACTATGGGGGTGGGGCTCACTACACCCAAAGGAGACTTCATTTTTTAAATCTTCTGGCTTCTCTTAATCAACTTGGGGAAAGGACAAATGAGGGAGACACAGGTCAATAACAGCATGTATGGTTTTCACCCCAATAACATTCCTGAATGGACTTGTCCATTGTGGAAGGGCTGTGCACTCCTGTATCCATTTGTGCTGTGTACAACTTGAAAAGGTCCCCAAGAGACTCTGTTCCCAGGTGGAGCAACAAAACTTGTTCTACCCACCCCAGTAAGAGGTTCCCAAAGGAAGAAGGCAAGTACAGTAGTGATCCTGCACTGTTACAATAGTCTAAAGGGTCTGTACCAGTCCCAGCAGCGATGAGCAGGGGAAGGAACAAGCTGCCTCTCCTCTGTCCCTGTGCCAGCAAGGAATCTGGCATTCATTCTCTTTACATTTTTATTCCTTATTGTCACATAGGAAAGAACTCAACCCTCATGTTCTCATCTGAGGGATTCCATTCTACACCCAGTTTAGCTTCCCCAGTGTCATAATCATCCCCTTCAAATCCTGGATCCACCATATCCTCTCTCCTCTGCAACTAAGCACCCAGTTGCTTCCAGGCCCCCTACTTTCCTCTGTTCAGGCAGTGATAGCAGCCTCAAAACTCTCTGCTGTATTACTAAAGCAGAGAGATCTTAGGCTTCAGCAATATGTTTTTATTTAACTGTTACATTAACAACATAAATTGTTGGGTGATTTCTGGAGTCTGCTCAAAAATCAGAGATCATCACAATGGTCCCTTCTGGCCTTCATACATATTTCTTACCCATGGACAACCTAACAGACAAAGCTAGATTCCATGTTATACTTGACCTCTAAACTATGTTGCTCAGTCTTGGTTTCTAGACTACTCTACCAATGCATAAATGCAGCAGAGCCATAGCTGGTACAGCTTGCTCCCAAGGCAGCAGACTCATACCTGATAGGGTTTGTGCCCTGAGGTGCTGAAACGAAGCCATGGGAGGGGGTTGAGGTTCCTACCATGTGGAACAAAACAGAAGCAGGACACAACTGTGAAGGGAGGCATCACCTCCACCAGTCAAGTTAACCCTCCCCTTGCCTTGAAACTGTTGTAGTTTCATGTGGCAAACAATGGTCCCAAACCCTTAATTTGGCAATAGCTGCAGGGCTAGGGAATGGTTAACTTGGCTCTTGGAAGCAACATCTGACACCTCTCCTCCCAGCAGCAGCATCTCCCATAGAGAGGGGGTTGCAGGATTGAGAAGGGAACTCCTGACCCCACTCCACTCCATACCGCTGAAGCTTTGAGCCCCCTGCCTCCCAACTTTATTCCAGTACCCCCCATAACTGAGCACACAGAACTTGATGGAAAATTTAAGATCTACGTTTCTCTTTTTTAAAGAAACTATAATTTTTACCAAAGCCATTTTGTGAAGATCCAAAATGGTGATTAAAAAATATCCCCTCTTCCTTTACCCCTGGAAAACTCAACATTTTTCAATCCTCACATTGAGGAAAGATAAAAAAACAGTCATGTCATTCATCAGCTAGGCATATGAAATACATTTTAAAAAAGACATCCTAATGCATATAAAAGAGGGGAAGAAACAGCTCATATAAGGAAGAATTTGCACAGTGGTCCTGATTTCTAGCAGCTGGAAACCTGGAATGATGCTTTTGGTGGTGTAGTTACTGAAAAGTCTCTAACTCAATCATTAAGCTTGATTTGAGCTAAGCAATGAAAATTGTGAAGCCTGACATTCTTAATTTCCAGGGGTTTATGCTCTGTTCTCAAGTTCCAGATTTAGATACACCTGAAAAGTCAAAACAAAGCTCAGTCACATCCTACCGGTCATTGGGTTTCATGTCATAACTTAGAGTTGGATCCAAATCGATGTAGATGAACCAAATGTGCAGATCAGCAGGGAAGTTGGGATTCTGTGAGCAAAACTATTATTGATTTTAAAAGGACTTCTGAATATTAAGTTCATGGTCCAAGTAGTTCCTTTCTCAGCTATAAAACACCAACTTAACCTTCTAATAAAGCCTGAATTCATCAGATAAAACCCAGACCCCAACTGACAAAATCCCCATTGATGTTAGTGGGGTCAAGATGTCACCCACAGATTTTAAAGCCAAAATGAGCTGCTGTAATAATCTCGTTAAACTTCCTGGATAATCCCAGCCACAACAAGCCAACCAGAAATTCCTGAAGTAGAGAAAAGAGGTTCTATCTGCTACTTAACTCTGCTGTCTCCTTTTCTCTCACAAGCTTAAGGAAAGGTACTGTGACACCCAGAAGATTGCCTATGTCTATCCCAACCATGCAGTTGGTCCAATCAAAGGTATCACCCTAAAGAATTCTTGCCTCTTGTGTATTTCCTGGACCATCACAGCAACAAGATCACCTCAACATTACTTGTAGCAGAGAAAGTTAATCTTCCTTGCCATATAAAGGAAACACTAGCAAGCACAATAACTTGTAGCTGAAGCTTTAAAAGGGGATAAATTTATGCTATAATCTCTGTAGGCATGTCTACACATGCCTTTACTGTGCATGAATAAAATCTGGTGAAGTTTGCGCTGGAGTTTATTTCTCCCAGGTGTGCCATATGCATGTACAGTCAGGACCACGGTAATCTGAGCGGGGCAGAGCAGCCCCAGCTGGCAGAGGGCCCCAGGGGTCAGCCTGCCAGGACAGGGCTGCACCTAGCTCAATGTGCTGCAGAGAGCCTGGTTAGGGCACGAGTACTTCAATGTGGGGATAGCGAGCAGGAAGGTCCTGCACTGAAGTACTCTCATGTCCCAAACAGCTCTGTCAGCATCTATACATGCATTGCAGCAGAGTGAATAACTCCACCACAGGATAATTCTTGTATCTGGCAGTACTATCCTACAGCAGAGCTAATTAGATTACTGCAGCCTAATAGCACATGTAAAGCTAATTAGGCAGCTCCACAGTAAACATCTCATGTAGACGTGCCCTGTATGGGGATACAGTGTCCATGTCTACATGAGATGCTTACTGCACAGTAGCTTGTTACTATTGCGCAGTAGTGTCTCTGGGTACGAACCATGATGTGATGCTACTGCACAGTAGTAAAGAGCTACAGCAGTAAGTCTCACCCTGGCAACCATGCCAAGATGCTACTGAGCAGAGATGCATTGTGGAGTCATTTAATACTTAGTTATGCAAGTACTAAATGACTGTGCAGTCAGCATCTCATGTAGATGTGGCCAGTTTCACCCAGGGGGGAATACATTTAATCTGAATGTAAATGATGAGTTCCCTGTGGCCATATGTTCACCACAAATGCTAAGGGGAAAAAAGATCAAAATTTGGACGGAAGAAAAGTCCATTTCCAATCCTTCTCCCACTTCCTTCTATAAAAAAAACAACATTACTGACATATATGTTAACTAACCGTATCAGTTTATCATTTTGAACACTAACATTTTTCACAGCTATTTTCTCCAAAAGTTATAGAAAGGCTTCTTTCTTGGATGATGCCTAATTCATACTCTAGATAATATTCAGACAGAGCTTAACTATTTTTCCAGAGATGAGCTGAAATTGCAAAATCTGGCCCTGTATTTCAATCATCTGTTTTTTGTTAAGGCCCATTTGCAAAATTCAGATCAGGATCCTGAGTGAGATTATGAGTTACCTTAAAAGTTAGGGGTATTCATATACACAATTTTTATCACAATTCCCCCTTTTTATTTACTTATAATGTAGGACTTAATGCTGATGTTACCTTGAGAGATGAGCCTTTGGGACTGAAACACTTAAATGGCTTTTTGTCCTCTGACAAGCCATCTTCAGGCATCTTCTGACGTTTCTCAGCAGCTTCAGCCCTTCTCCTCTCAATCTCTTCTTTCAGCCTCCTCTTCTCCTCCTAAAATGGTATACATAAACTGTTGGTCATTTGTTTTCTTCAAGATACCATAGTGTCATCCTCAACACCTTAAATTCCCCAAAGACAGTTACAGGATTTACAAAAAATAGACCCCCTATGTCTGTGACCTATTTCAGTTCTAGTAATTTATTTATGCGCATGTAATGCACTAATCTACCACAGTATCAAGTGTGTCTGTAGGGAGACAGGGTTAATCTATGCTGCATTCATTTATTCCCACAAAGGCCTTGCTTGCATAACTAAATATGCTGCTGTGGTCCTGTGTTTACTGAGACAGCAACATTTTAAAAAATGCTATCTCATGAAAGACTGGGATTTAAGAAGCTGAATGTTGTTTTAAAACTATTACACATGGGTTAAAAATGCTAATTAAAACCACATTTAATGTGACTCTGAGTCACAATATTGATGTTTTCAAGACACTAAATCAATCTGACCCTTTGCCCAGAAAAGAAAAGGGACAGGAACCACTTCCAAGTTGCCTAAGAACAGGCCCCGAACCAGCACCACTCAGTCCCAGCAAACTCTCAAAACAGATTCATTCTGCAGCCTCATTTCTCCCCCTCTAAGATTCATTGACTTGGAACCATAGCACAAAGGTTAATAGGTATCTACCTTATATGTGTAAGGAAGACTTATGTATGCCTAGTAATCTGAAGATGAAAACCACTATGAATGAATAACAGGGTTATTCTTTTGTAGGTGTAACAGGCTTATCTTTCAGAGCTTGGGTTGAGTCCCAGGCCTGAGATCCTACTGTTTTGATTGGTGGAGCTCATCCACCAATCAGGAGGCAGCAAGAGAAATAACATCACGCCCCTTTCCTGAAGTGGGGGGGAAGAGAGCTCCCCCGGACCTGATTGAAGACTGCAAACTGTCAGGTCCGGAAGACTTCAGGGGCGGAGCCCTGGAGTGTATAAAAGGGGTTGCGTGCCCAGCCCGGGGGAGAGGCGTTAGGGACAGAGAAGAGTACAGAGTGGGGCTTAGAAGAGCTGAGGAGAGCTGCTCAGCAAGGTGAAGCAGCAGCCCAGGAAGAGCCCCTGGAGGCTTCTATCAGCAGGGAGCGGGGGACGGCTCCAGTGGTTAGGCTCTCAGTGCGCAGCATGGTGCATGGCGTCCAGACCCTGGGAGCTGCGTGAGGCAGCTCAGGTCTGCAACCTCTGGCGTGCGGCCAGAGACACGGTGCACAAGCTGGTGCATGGAGCAGGATCTTTGGAGCCCCTGGGGCGGCTCCAGTCCTCAATTCTCGGAACGAGGCTGGGAGCTTGGTGCAGGAAGTGCTGAACAGAGGATGAGAGACCCTGGGAGCCGCTTGAGGCGGCTCGGGTCTCCAACTGCTGACACGGGGCAGCAGCTCAGTGCAGACTATGCTGCCCAGAGGGTCCGGGAACAGGGCCAAGCCCCAGTGCTACACAAGGCTGTCCAGGCCTCCAACCCCTAGCACAAGGCGAAGCACTCACTACACACAATGGTGTATGTGGCCCTATGCCAGGATGGCAGCAGCAGAGTCAGGTGGCAGGAAAACCCAGTGGGGAACAGAGCTTGACCTGAAGAACAAGAGGCAGCACTCTGGGACTGTGGAGTAGTAAGTTACCTCGGAGAGAGGGCCTCCACAGGGGAGGGCCCCCCCCAGCTCAACCCAAGGGTTGCAAAGGGGCACTGCGTGGGCTGCTCCTTGGTGATAGCGGGGGAGTTTAGGAGTCTTTGAGGTCTTCCTCTCCTTTTTCTTTCCCCCCATCTCCTTTCCTGTAGTGGTACCTTGGGAGTGGGGCCCCTGCACTGGAGGGCACCCAGGGAGTCTAAGGACTGCTGATTATATTTGTGGACTGTGCCTTACAGTTTATGGGAATAATTTGAAGTAATAGTTTGTATATGAATAGAGTTATAAGGTTGCCCAATCAATATCCTTTGGTCTGGTTTGTTCTATTGTTCATCAATATTTTAAATGATAACTGGGTGTGTATATATTTGCGTGCGTGTGTGTGTGTGTGTGTGTGTGTATATATATATATATAAATATAAAATAGGGTTTGTTGTTTTGTAAATATGTACATATATATATAATCTATGTCCTTATCCTTTAATGGTTTTGTTGTAATAATAAATCTGTATATAGTTAAGTAATTGATTGATTGGACCTGACTCTATAAGGGACAGAGGCAGCTGCTGGGGTGTTGTGTCCCTCTACAGCACACTGCCCTGCCAATAATTCCCTCAATTGGAGAGGGAAGTACAAACCCAGGTACACCCAGGCTACAAAGGGATATTTTGAAGGTTGTCAACTGAACTACAAGCAGGGCAGTTCTTCTTAGTTCTCTGAACCAGGATATGCCGTACTACTGCAACAAGCTGAGTACTCTTAACTTATGGAGTTCTTCAGTGGACCAGTTGGGAGCTCAACACATTGCAGGAGCAAGCTGCTCCTTCCAAGCACTAAGTACTGTTATTGTTAGCCCCCAAAATCAAAGTTTATTTTCTGTATGGTTTACATCTCTAATTTACATGCCAGAGATCTGAACATCCTGTTTAAAAAGACTCACTTGCCAGGGGAAACAGAGAAAAACAGATGCATTTTGGTATTTAATATTAAATTCAGCAAGAATCTCTTTCTAATGAAATCCAGCCCAGCGTAACCCCAGGATTTAATCCCACCCTCAGCAAACAAACATCTGCTTTGCCATTTTCCAGACACTTGCATACACAGAGGAGCAGGATTCTAGTAGTTTGAGCTATCACATGCCAGAAAAAGACTTCCCAAATAAACAAAGACCTGTGTTCCCGCAGCACCACACCTGAAGGTTTTGTTTGTTTGTTTGTTTTTTAATACACTGATCATAGGAAATTCAAGACAACCACAGATAAAAATCTTTGTCCCAATTATTAGATTAGAGTCTTGCCATCGACCTCAATGAAGTTGGCATTTCACCCACTGGTCCTACCCCATTTTAGAGATTAGATCCAGATTTTACTGGTTCATGAATGTGATAACATGGCATAATATCAGATGCAAGGTCTGAGGTTAAAAGTTCCAGAATCAGTCTGCGATTAGTTCAGTTAGTCTGCCTGAAAGCTATGCCCACTGTGCTAGGCCCTCTATTGACACATAAGTAAGAGACAGTCCTTCTGACAAGAAGCTTGCAGTCCAAGTAAACTACACAGACCAGATGTGGTAAAGGAAGAAATAGCACAGAGAGGTCATGTGACTTGTCACAGTCTCATCAGCAACCCCAGAGTTAGGAATAAAAGTCAAGTTTTAGCCCTGCCAATCTGGTAGACCTTGGGTGCATCTACATGTGCAAATGCTGCAGAGTGGGTTTACTCTAGAGTAATTTATCCTAAAGTAAACCCACCTCAGGCATGCACCTACGCATGCGTGGATGCAAAAGCACAGTTGCTGCTCCTGGCAGCAGTCTGCTCCCGCCCCCTCTTGCCCTTCACCAGCCCCCTCCAGCATCCAGGGAGAACTCTAGGCTCCCCCTGGGTGCTAGCCCAGGTGCTGGCAGGAAGCACAGGGCCAGGAGGCAGCTGTCACCTAGCAGGGGCTGTCAGATTGCTCCCTGTCCCCAGGAGCTGCCTGCTGCTGGCGTGGGCTACACCACTGGAGCCTGGGTAAGAACAATGTCCCCCTGCCGCAGCAGCAGGGAGTTCTCCACCCCTCAATCGAGGGCAGGGGACTTGGAAAGTGGGGAGGGGCAGGTCCCAGCCCTCTACACCAATCTGCTGGTGGGGCAACTAGCAGTAAGCTCCTGGCTGGGTGGGGATTACTTGAGCAGAGCTGGGGCTAGGAGCAAACTCTCAGCCTGTTCCCAAACTCCTAGCCCCTGCTCCATGATCGCATGTGGGGAGTGGGGGCTGAGAGCTCCCTCACTTTCACACTGCTTTTCCTTAGCTACTTCCTTGCTTCTCATCCCCATTGATTTACTATCCAAGAGTATACCTCACTTCTGTTACTGATATTTAATTAAAGACGAATGGAACTGAGTTACTTTCAGCATCAGTAAGGGAGTCCCAAGGTCTGGTGCTGGACATCCCTTTGTGCTATTATGCCATTACCTCTTCTCTGGCTTTTCTCTCAGCCTCTTCCTGTTTCCTCCTCTGCTCCTCCTCCTCAAGGACCTTCCGGCGCTCCTCACGCTTTTTCTTCAGTTCCTCCAGCTCCATGGCTGCCTCCTGTTGCTTTTCCTTCAGCTTCTCAAACTCTTCACTCTCATTTTCCCCTCGGCGACGACGCAGCTCCTCTAATCTTTTGCCAGCTTCAAGCTGAGATGCTGGCTTGGCTTCTTCAGCATCTGCAGTTGCTTTCAGGTTGGAGCGGCTGAGGAAGAGACAGGCACAGGTGAGTATGCCACAGGTTTTTCTTTCCTGGCTAGAATTACCTATTGTCATAAGAACTTGACACGCAAAAGTTCCTCCTTACAAGATCATGTGTTCCTCATAAACTCTGTACTAACTTGATAGGTTTATCAGGTATGCTGAAGTATTTAGATGCACTCATCTGCCTTCCACTGACAAGAGTGAAAGGGAAGGGAGAAAGTGTCCTGCATGCTTGGGGATGCATCGTGCTACCTTTAAACTAAGACACATACATTTCACCTCTTTCTTGGAAATAACTTGGTCTTTATTTTGGAAATATTCATATCCGCTGTGCTTTCTTTGTTTGAGATCTATTTTATTTCATCACCACCTTCAAAGTATATAAGCCGCTGTGTTTGTGTATATGTATTCTATAACTGGGGAGCCGTACTTCGGGAGTTAGCTTCTAAAAGCATATATGAAGAAAATGATTCAGGAATCCAAGGAAAGGCAATGAGTTATTTGTCTCTAAATTTTTCTAAATAGGACGTGCACATACAAAAGAAAAACACAGCAGCAATGCATTGTACGGAACACAGTATTTTAAGATATGCATAAGCCTTTGCTGTCTAAGGTGAGTGCCATTATAACAACATATAACATATAAGATAACAGATAATACACGCATTTGGCAAATATCATAAAAAAGAAAAGGCCATTTGATTCCAGCATAGTAATGACAAATACAGTTCTTGCTGTTCCACCATATTTCAGTAAAAGATACCTCACTAATTTAAGGCATTATTGTCTTGGACTCTAGGCTGGCCGACATATGTATGTAAACTTTCTTTGAAATTTCCTGGGAATTTTGACTTTTTTAAATGGGTTTACAGATTTTTTTTTCTTAAATGCTTTGCCTCCCCACCCCTGAGAGAAAGATTATTCACAACCAGCTTTAATGCAGAGAAATTTAAGGACATTTTAAAAAATGCCCATTTCTTGTGAGCAATATGAATACATTTTTCCCCAGAGTGTTAAACAGCTCCATCTAGTTATACATTTCTCACATCAGTACTTTGCTAAATACTTGCTCCTGGAAGTGTGTCTTCACTACTACTGACAGAGAGACACATACTTGACAGTTTCACCATGCTACTTACAAGAGATGGGAAAGGGGCATGTATTTGGCTTTTATTTCTTCCCTGTCCTTCAGGCTCTAAGAAGATACAGATTCTAAATACTCCATTAATGAAACCACAGGGTTGCAAAACTGAACACACAAGAGCCAAAAGCACAAACATCAGTGTTTCCCACAGCAATATTAAGTAAGCAGCGACATTACAGAGATAACAACAAATAAGCATTATAAATACTGTCTCAACATGTGGCTTAATGAAAAGGGCCTCAGTTCTGCAAGGCATTCTTCACACTTGGAGACTCAAGCAGCTACATAAAGACCTAATAAATTCACAGGAGCTGCCATGGACTCAATCCAATCTTGGATTAGAATCCCTTCAGGCAAATCCATGTACCTATACAGTCCCCCATTAACTTCAATGGAATTTTGTGCTATCAGACTACACTGCATCACTTGCAAATTGTATTGTTAACATATGATGAAACATTGAACATGAACCTTTAATAGAGTTAATACTGCTAGGAGCATCTTAACTTTCACCATTTCAGCTCTATAACAAGCCTTTTATTACTACATATTTGGGTTCCCCCAACATAATCCAGCAGACCGCTGACCCACTTCAGCACCAGACCCTTCATTTGAAATAAAAACAGCCATTTATTTTATTTTCCTTTTAAATTCAATCTTTTAGAGTCTGATCCTACAAGCTCTTAGTACAGATGGCCAACAGGGATAAGCACCATTGCTTAGACTAGTGCGTGACCTGGCACTTATTTTATAATGTATCTACTTAGTAGTAAAAAAATCCATTTTAACCAGGACCATAAATTCCTGCAAGGCAACTGTTAAAACAGGTATTCAGGACACTCTCCTGGCAACTGGGAAATGTATCTGAATCCCACTCTTGTGACATTAAATTGTGCAACCCCGTGGTTTCATTAATAGAGCATTTAAAATCTAGCACTTTTTAATGCCTGAAGAACAGAGAAAAAAATAAAAAACACACAATCCCCATCTCTTGTGTTTCTATTCCTCCTGGGTGGGATAAACCTAGAAGTCAGGTCTTTGTCTTCCTGGGCAAGTGCTCTTATCACTAGACTGCAAGGCAAAAGGTGGGCACTACCATCACCAGCTCAAGAAGGAACAAGGGAGAGGCTGTGCTTCACACTGAACTCAGCGCTGCTGTCAGATAGACTGTTCTGAATCATACACCTCCTCCTTGAGTAACCTAGTGCTTCCTTGCATCCCTAAATCAAATTGCTTAAGCTCGAAAAGGAGAGTTCAGCCACACCCCCCTGCTTAGCATACTTATTAGCTACCTGTAGGCTAATAAGGCCAAATGACTGGATGGATGACCTGGACCTTGTGTGGTATCTAGATCTCCCCATTCACTCCATAAGAAGCCTAGACACCTGACCTGAGTGATCTGGATCCTCCTGGGACAAGACATCTACTTTTTAGTCATTGTGACATCACCATGCAGGAAACTTAGAGGTTGATACAGGATCTAGCCTTTAGTCTTGGTTTGTTCCTCTAGCCCCAGTCAGGGAGAGAAGTCCCAGTTATTTTGCTGTTTCTCATTCTCTAAGCAGTCATGGCAGTCAGCCTATATTGACTTTGACAGATATGTGGTCTAATCAAGATATATCAAGTCATTCAGTACTTCCCAAACCTTGTGGGTTTATGCCCAGCACAGTAAAGTCGGCATTCCCACTACTCTTACTTTAGCCACCACCACCAAACTCCTTTACTGCCAATTGCTGTTGATTCCCTTTGCCAGAGACAATCAGTGGCAATGACTGAATGGGAGCAGGGGGCAGGCAACAAGAGTGGCTAAAGTAGGGGAGCACTGCTGATTGCCACTACAATTCATACACAGCCTCCCCTAGAAACCTTTTACACACAAACTAGGGGGACACACCCCACACTTTGGAGAGTGTGGAAGTTTCCTCAAATAATCCCTAAAATAAAAGTTTGGTTTGACAGTATTATTAAATGTAGCACTGAAAATAGTAACTGTTTACCAAGTCTCTTAACCAGTAACTGATCTATTTTATGTCAGTAACGTAAGAAGTTACTAAGGATCAGTTTCTGTCCTCTGTGACATCTGTGCAAATAAAGTAACTTCACTGAAATTAATAGAGTTATTCCAACCTTGCAGTGCTATAAAACTAAGGGTGTATAACAGTCTCATTTTTTTCTGACTCCATGCAAAGTGGGGTGAATACTTTAGCTGAAAAACAGATAGTACGTCTTTCTTACTGAGAAGAGGTTTTTAAGCTCCTAATCATGTACATCCAAAAGCTACTCTTTCTAACTTCTTTTATTAACAGGCTATATGTAGGATTTTCCTTGCTGTTTATGCATATTCTCTAGTAGGACACAATAATTGGCACAATAATTATCTTGCCCCTCATACTTTTTTTCCTCTCAGGCTCTTTGCTTTCAGCAGATTCTGGGGATCTCAGCCCCCTGCTGTCAACATCAAGAAATCAGTACTGAGATACCGAACAGAGGAAGAACTTCAGAAGTGCCTGTTTGGTGCTAAGAAATGGAAGCCAATTGCCAGCCTTCATGCAGGGGGAGAAAAAGCTGGTTTGAAAGAGCCAAACATGACAGAGCAATGTGAAAAATGCATTACAACATGCTTAGGATTTCTGTACTCCTGAATAAGAGCTGAGAAAAGGGGCAGGTGGCAGGAAAATGGGAAAGGGGAGCCACAAAATTAGTTTTTCCAGAAATCCTCTTGTTGACCAGGACAGAGAGAAGGGGCATAGATAATGCTTCTCTTTAGCCTCAGGTGTGTCTGGTTTTATTTCTTACCAGTGCAATTTAAACTTAGCATATAGAGTCTGCTACTGCTGCGCTAGCACCACAGATGGTTACATACTAAAGCTAGACATCAAAATTAGTGGATTTTGGGGGAGAAGGGAAATAGAAGAAAGATTCCCATCTTATCACTAAATGTTGCTACAGAGACCTATGCTCAACATGAAATAAAACAAACAAAGAAGTTACAAGGAGAGTTTTAGAAACATTTCACATGTTCATTGTGATTTGACCCAACACTGGACAGGTGAAGAGAACTCGTTTTCTTCTGTTTTATGGCATATGAATCCCCCTCTTTCCCAAGTGTAGCAGATATCTCAGACAACATTATTTTCCTGAACATGCCTCTTTAAAACATTTTGACCAGGAGTAGTTTTTCTTCTACAAAATAATTATTTACATATAAAAGCCATTAAACTTGTGGTTTGCTACAATAAACAATTAAGAGATAAACTCTTAAAAAAGGTTACCATCTGGACACTGCTTCATATTGTTTATACAGAGTCTGATTTAAAGCAGGTGTGTAACTGGAAATGGGTTATTCTCAGTAAAGGCTTAGCTCATGTGACAAGGATATAAAAGCTCAGCCCTAAGGTCAATCTTTACCTTAATGCAGACTACAAAAATATGAAGTTCATTAAGAAAGCAAAAGTTTAGCAGATGATGGAAGAAGATTAAAAAACAAATTGCTGATCCCTAGAGACAGAGTGAGGTGTTTGCTTTTTTCTATTCATTACCCAGCTATGCACATCTCATTTCATTGCTACAGCAATGTGCATAGAATTCTATTAAAAACCAACCTGAGACCCTCAATTCAATTCTAAAAAAACTAATAAATATCATAATTTTTATGTTCGATGTTGGAAACCTAAGTCTTGGACTACACAGCTGAAAAGTACTGTAACAGAGACCCATAAGAGGCAACAAGACAACTAGCTCTACTCCGATATAAACAAATCCAGTGTTCATGTGAATCTTACCCAAAAATATTCTCAGTATGTTTAAGTTTGTGGGTAGTAAGTTCCTGGACACGTTCTCCATTCTGTGGCTTCGATTCAGGAAGTCCTTTCTTACGATCCCAGCTAGCCTTAAGTTCATCCTTAGGTGCTTTTTCTTTATTAGCCTTGTCATCTTTTATCTGCTCAGAAGATACCATAAAGAATACAAGCGAAGAAAAAGACTCACAGTTAGACATTCAGGGTAACTGAAGAGGAGAGTGTTTCCTGCAGTGAAGGGGCAACTAGGAATGCTGGGCACCTAAGCATGCATCTTCAAATCTTTTACAGCAAACATCCTGTAAAGTTCTAAAATGTTATCTGCAGCCACCCTCTTCTGATCTACCTTACAACTGAAGACAGCTGCAGTTACCTGCATTGCATGCAAATCTGCTGCACAAAATGCTACTACTGCTATGTAACCCAATTAAAATGACACCTGTCTTGACTGCTATCCTGTCCCATCCCCTTGCCCCTCATGTTTTAGCTCATTTACCTGTTGCACATCATCTGACTCTCAGACTATGAACACTGTAAGAGAGGGAATGCCTTTGTTGTTTGTTCATATAGCTGTAACTACAATGGGTTATTAGGTGATTCTACAATAGAAATAATAATCATAATAAATTGTTAAACTAACTCAGCAAAAGCAAGTGTTTGCTATCCAGATGTAGCCAATACAGTCACCTGCACAGCAGATGTGGGCTAACAGGATGTACTGGGTGCTTTCAGTGTCACAGCAGGTGCCTACTAGTTGGCTACTACAAGCATCATTGCCAAGTAGTTCAATGATCATTAGGCCATAGCCAAATGTGTTTTGGTTTTTTTTACCAGTGTGCAATTCTAACGCCCCCATACTAGGTTACAGACCAATCACTGACTAGTAGTGGAGGGTATTATCCAATGTGCAGCTCCAATTCTAGAAAGAAGCAGATGTTCTCTCCAAAAACATTGAGGCAAAAATTCTCTTCCCCCCTCCAGGACTTCACTTTATATTATTTGACTGAGATTCAAAAAAATTAATGTATTGGTTTCACTCCCTAATCCCCATCCAGAAAATGTTGGTCTTAAAAGTATTTACCATGGCCATCCACGGCCTGACCCCAGCATGCTGAGTCATGCTTGGATGCTGATGAAAAGTGCAGGAGATGGCAATTGATTTGAGTTCTTCTGTTATGTGGGCAGAATTATTCCCACAAAGTAAATTAGCTGGACCAGGAGCCAAATAAGTTTTGAATTGCAGGGAAGAAAATAAAAGTGTTAACCCGAGAAAATTTTCCTATGTCGGCAGAAGGCTCTATTGGGCAGGCAGAACGTATTTTCTTTAAAGAACTGATTTGAAAACCATTTAGAAAGCTGCCCCTCTGCATCCTCCTGCCGTTCCATCTGCTAAATGAAGAGAAAAATAAACTCTGACCTAGAGTGGGACTAGACACAATTATCCCTTCCTGAAGGCATCCCCGCCCACTTTTCAAAGCAGGATCCTCTTAGGGAGCCTTACAAAGCATCTGACAAGATGACTGAACAGCTGGAATCTCCAATACCAGCTCTGCCTGTCACTAGGATCAAAAGCTGTTTGTTCATTTGTATAAACACATATGACGTGACAGCTGAAATGTGGCGTGCACTGAAAGCGGGGGGAGGGCAGCTTGGATGTCACGCAGGAAACAGCCCACGCTTTGGACAGAGCGCGTGCCTAGCTGCGTGGTCAGGGCCTCAGG